ATTTGGTTCCACTCACGAGCTAGTCCTCAACAAGGTTTTTTGGCATCTAATTGCTCCCCTTTTTCTTAATAAGTAACCAAAGATTATATAAATTCGTGCACTAAGCCAGGGGCGGCTCTTGCTTAGAAAAACTAAGGCACATGCCTTAGGCCCCCAATTTTGGGAGGCCTCAAATTTTTACCATATGTGTTTTTATTTTTATAAAAATAATAATTATTTATAATAAAATGTGTATATATATATATATATATATATATTATTTTATTCTCCTTAACTCCACTCAAATAGAAGAAATCAAGAAAACGTTGTTTTGTCTTATTACATTTCTGTCATTCACATTATTTATTTATTTTAAAACTCCTTTTACAATTTTTTTCTTCAAATCTTTGATAAGTTAAAGTAATACTCTATCATAAATCTAAATCATTAGTCGAACAATGTTGAACAAAGTGAATCACAATTTTTTTTTACTTAAATTTTCAATCAAAGTTAGGTATATCAAGTTATCAACGTCTTGAATCAGATTTTATGGTTCTAACTCTTATTTTGCTTAAGGTTTGTCAACTTATTCCTTAGAGAATTATGTTAATAATTCATATAATGATTACTTTAGTAAAAGGATATTTTTCAGCATTGAATTGATAAAATCTTACCTAAAATTAATTAAATTTTTTTTAAAAAGTACTCAAATAAATCATCTATTAAAAAGTTGAAGTAATAATGTGCATCTAAACAATTAGAAAAATAATTTTTAAATAAATATGTATGAAATTTTTTAGGCCTCAAAGAAAATTTCGCTTTAGGCCCCCAGTTACGTTGAGCCGCCCCTGCACTATGCCGTGCCACAAACGTAATTACAGATTGTGCAGATCCTCTATTGTGTCTAGGATTGCTTCTTCATGACATACAAAACCAGGTTGCACCAAAAAGCTAGCAAAAATATTCATCTTTGTTTAAGGCTATGTATGTTTCTTCTGCTGCCTTGAAATATTCTGCTAGTTCTCTTAAGCCATAAAATCCGCTATTTTAATCATAAACTTGAACTCCGCCTCTCTTTTTTTAATAAAATACAATGGATCAGATTCGGAGACACTTATGGAAGATACTGTCCATTTAACTGAAATCGTCTTTTAGACTTTGCAATAACTTTCATTTATTCATTCTTAAGCATCCGAAAGATAACTCAAATATTCAACCTGTGTAAGTGTTATAATTAGGTTCTAAATCCTAATATAGAAAAGGGTGGTCAAGGGAAGTCTGCCTTTCATTTACCAAAACAAGACCCCTCTCATCCTCTCCGTGATGAATCTCCATACATTTAAATCGTTGGTATATGTCTTTCTTCCGGTTTATTTTGGATAGGGGGAGGAGTAATTTGTATTACCAAATATATGGCCAAATTGCCAGGAATATATAAGGAAATATTTTGGTGATTCTTGGTAGTGCAGGTTCATGAAGGAAAGCTGATCGTAAATGGAGTTGCGCGAAATGAAGATTTTATAAACGAGGCACCCAAATACGAAATGACACCAGTGGTATGTTCCATTTCTACTGATTCATTTAACTCAGCAATCAGCTTTCCTCCAATTCTTAGGAAGTTTCAAATAAACAAAAATATTGGCTCATCCAGATTTGACTACCTAAAACCATCATAGCTGTGGGCTATGTTGCTTGGACTCTTCATAAAACATCAACATATGTCTATCAGATTGTCCAAAAGTAGTGCATTTTGGAGGATCCAACATGGGTGGGGCAACATTGATTGTGGCCAAAGTCTGTTGTTTAATTTCTTAGTGTAAGAGTGCATACTGTTCTTACTGTTTCTTATCCATGTCTTACTGCAGCGTGTACCTGAGAATTCAGTTTTCGTTATGGGTGATAATCGGAATAACAGCTATGATTCCCATGTGTGGTGAGTTTTCCGCTCTTTGAAAAGTTGCAGCGTCTCCTATAAACTGCTAGTTCGTTAAATATGCTCATCTTACGTCTGAGTCATTTTTTTTTATCAGGGGAGCACTTCCTGCGAAGAACATAATAGGCAGGTCCATATTTCGGTATTGGCCTCCAAAAAGAATTGGCGGTACAGTTCTTCCTGAAGGTTGTGCTGTCGACAAGCAGGAGAGTACTAGTGATATAACAGTGCCTCAATAACTTCTTTAGCCTGAAAACTCCTTTTCTGTTTGGAATTGATATGAAAATGTAGAAGTGATATTATCTATTCATTGTTTGGCATAGTACTGTAATATGTCTAATTTGAGGTAGGTTGTAATGTAATGTATATTAGCAGGCATTTGACTTACTTGAGCTGAGGATGTAAGGTTTTGTATACATCCTCTTCAAATCCCAGTTGTAAAATTTCACTGGATATGTCGTCATTTGTTGTATTCGACTCCTGATATACTTTCATCAGGATTAATAGCAAAAATAATGCATGCATTAGCTCTTCGTAATAGTAATCCCTTGTTTGGTATATTTTTTCATGCTATTAGTTATACGCTCTGTTGTGTATTGAAGAATATATTACTAATATCATGAATTTCTAGGTATTAATAATGCAAAGAGATTTAATATATGTGGTCGTTAAAGATCCAATTACCCCTTTTATTTCCACCATATTGGCCAGAAAATTTGGCCACAATATAGCCAGAATGATATTTTACATATATTATTTTACATTTTTGAACATTTTTATCCTTTTAACTTTAATACCTTTTAATTAAAAAATAAAAAAAAGATCAATTTATTTTAAAATAAAAAAGGTATTATATAGACTTGAATTTTCTAGCAAAATTTTGTAAATTCATATTTTAAAACTGTGCATACTATTTTTAATACAACAAATCAAACAATGCATAAAAAATAATCTATGCATTACTAAGACATACTCCCTCCGTCCCTATTTAGTTGTCCACTTTAGAAATGACACACAGATTAAGGCAACAATAATTAGCATAGTGAAGTTACAATTTTACTTCCAAAATAAATTCACTCAAAATAACTAATCAATGATGGAAAAGTTCATAAGTTTATTTACTTTATTTATGACAACTTTTCACTTTAAATAAGGGTATTGTAGGAAAAAAATTTGTTGTCCTTTCTTAATTTATCAAAATGGACAACTAAATAGGGACGGAGGGAGTAACACATAAACATCCCTTGACTTGACATCAATTGATAACTATAATCCTCAACTTTTGATGTGCTAAACACTTAAGATGTGTATCATCTACTTGTTTGATTTTATACAAGTTTTTAGAGAAAGAAACTTCATTTTCTTTAACACGACTTTACAATTTAGCAAGTTCTTTATATTTTGCAATCTTCACTTTGTCACAATTTACATTTGTGACTCTGTTAGAGTCGAGCAACTATTAACAATATTCAATAATAATAACCCAGTCACAATTTACATTTGTTACTGTTGGTTTCAAGCAACCATTTGCAATATTCAATAATAATAGCCCAAGAGGGTGATGCCAACTTCCTCAATGAAAAAATTGTCTATAAATCTTTCAAACCTGTAAATTTTTTGTAAATTTGCATTACATTTACCTTTTAATTTTGGTTAAAATTTACAACTATCAAGGCCTTTCAAATAAATATGGAGCCAGTTACATTCTGACATATGTTTTAATACATCAGTATAATTTACAACCAACAGGCCTTCCAATAGAATTTTTCTGTTGCTACGTCTCCCAACTCTAAATTTCCATCTATCAGCTGCATCTTCGTTAGTGAATTAGAAAACTACACAACAAGCCAATGATCACAAATAAATAAAAGACAACTTTTCATAAGCAATCTTCTAATTTTTTCAACTTACACTGAGAGGATCAGTTATAATGAATCATTCACCACTTTAGCATAACCACATATGGAATGCAAGTCAGATGACAATAAATACACATCATTTCCTCTTGGTTCAACATGGGTGGGCCAAATATATCAAATCCCAGAATAAAACTGCCTGTTTTCCTTTATGAACAACCGAGTCTGAACTTGTGTTGCTTATTTTCATTTACCCTAGGTTTAACTTACAATCACCAAGACAATGAGCTGAGCAGCTGCATAACTTAGTTGGTAGAAAAGTAACTGATGTTGAATCATAGTGGAAGTGTTGTAATCATCGATTGCAATGTCGGTTACACGATCCCACATTAGTTACTTTCCTATCAGCTTAGTTATGCCTAGCGTCAGCTGCCATTCTCTAGGAAACGAGGGCACATCACGGGAGACCTACACTCCATCACTGATCACCCTAATTTCCCACTCCTACACTCTATCATACCAATCATCCAAAAGTTACTAGCCCCCATCAAAATCATTCAAATACAAAGAATTTTTTTTTAAGGGCATCAGTTCTCCAAGGTTGATAGCATCAATGAAAGATTCAGACGCAAATTACCCATTTACGATATATAAGATTCATCAGTTGCCCATAAAACTAAAGTTCAAAAATAAATAAGCAAAAAAAGGACAAGTAAATGGAGGATTATTCACTTAACGATCAGAACCTGTCGGGATTCACACTTTACATCATAAAATGTATTTCAGTGGATTGACAGACTTATGAATTCTATCATCACTTCGTTACTCCTCACAAGAACATAACAAACAATCTTACAAAATTTAAATTGCAAGAAAATATTCTGTAATTGAAAATTAAAAAAAATAGTGCTCAGAACTTCTTAGAGGGTTGTGTAAGCCATCACAGACCAAAGTCTCCGACACGAGATTTTTTCTTCAAAGCACCATAAAAGGAAAAAATATCCTTCAAACAAATTTTAAAAAATCTCTAAATGAACACTAAATACAATACAAAAATAAGAGAATTAACAGCAAAAGTTTAATTATAGGACTCAGTTTATGGGTGGTGATATATCAGAATGGTCGGCAAGGTGGTTTTAACACCATTACGACGAACGAGACCAATAGATATAAGTCGTCACAGTCCAATAACCCTTTCAAAAACAAATCATAACTTAAAACACAAATAAAAAAAGAGTCATCAGATAGGAGCGAAAGACTATAAAGATTGTTTTATAATCACAAAGATTTCATTTGAACTATGCTTCTAATCATCATATGACCCATTTATTAAACAATGACACCAGTAAAAAACGATTTTTATAAAATTATTGAACACAAAAAGCATAAAAATATGGGGAAAAAAATATGATTGGCCTCATAGAGAAGATTAGGTATTCAACATAATGAAAATTCAGTCATATGCTTGTCTATAAAAGAAATTTAATCATCAGCCAATGATACATTAGACAAATAAATACTACAAAAATTCGAACAAGGTGAATGGTTTAGCTCAGGGGACAAAATCACACAGAGTGGAACTAGTAATATCACAAATTCAACAGTTTATGCATAATTAAGAAACTTCAACTAAAATTAGATAATACAAACTCATTGTCAAGATCAAGTCATTTATATAACCAAATTTATAGATAAATGTACCATAATAATTGGTGGATGTAGCAATTTGTTCGAGGCCGTAATCAATACGAGAAGAAAGCTTGAAAGGCACGGAGAATCGCTATACATATGGCCAACCTTCAATGCAAATGTGTGTCATTTTGAAAGACACCCTTGCTCTGCAAATTGGCTATGTTAAAAACAAAGCAACTAAGGTACCAAATTAGCACAACAGTGAAGGGAGAAAATGTAGCAATTTGTTCGAGGCCGTAATCAATACGAGAAAACAGCTTGAAAGGCACGGAGAATCGCTATATATATAGCCAACCTTCAATGCAAATGTGTGTCATTTGTGAAAGACACCTTTGCTCTGCTAATTGGCTTTATGAAAACAAAATGCAAAGTAAAAAGTTAAAAGGGCATCAGTTCTCCAAGGTTATAACATCAAAGAAAGATTCAGACGCAAATTACCCATTTACGATATAAAAATTTCATCATTTGCCCATAAGACATAAAATTAACAAAGCAAAATCACAATTAATGGAGGATTAATTAACTAATAAACGATCAGAACCTGTCGGGATTCACTCTTAACATCACAAAAATGTAATTCAGTGAATTAACATATGAATTCTATCATCACTTCATTCATCCTCAAAATAAATTACTTATCATTCAATTACAACTACTAACTAATCACACAAAATACTGAAATTGAAAACAAAAAAATGCTCAGAACTTCTTAGAGGGTTGTGTAAACCATCAGCGACAAAAAGCCTCCGACACAAGAATTTTTTCATCACAGCACCAGAAACGAAGAATAAAATTGAAAAATAAACTAAAAAAAGTGTAGTAAGTAATAGGACTCAGTTTATGGGTGGTGATATATCAGAATGGTCGGCAAGGTGGTTTAAACACCATTACGACGAACGAGACCAATAGATAAATCGTCATTGTCCATTAATCATTTCAATTTTTCAAAAAAACAACAATTAATTGCTTAAAAATCAGATTTTTATAAAGAGTCATCAGATAGGAGCGAAAGACTAAAAAGAAGTTTTGTAATCACATAGATTTCATTTGAACTATGCTTCTAATCATCATATGACCCAGTTCATACAGCAAAAAAAACAACTTTTTTTGAATTATTGAGCACAAAAAGTAGAAATCTGGATAGAAAAACAAAAAAAAAAGTAGATGTAATTGGCCTCATAGAGAAGATTAGGTATTCAACATGATGAAAATTCAGACATATGCTTGTCTATATTTAAGAATTTTAATCATAGGCCAAAGGAAATTAGATGAAAACAAACAAATCTAACAGAAACTGAAAACTGTAAACTCGAAGGGGCAGAGCTTACTCTTATGGAGGAAGTGAAAGCTGTAAAACCCTAGATCAGAACAGAAGAGTGAGTGATTGAGCTCGAGAACGAAGGAAGCTTATATAGAGACGAATGGCGGAAGCTAGGGTTTAGTGATGGGCCTATATTTGAAGCGGGCCGATAAGAAATCGCTAAAATTATGGGCTTGTGGGCTCATATGTCAATATTTTTTGGAAAAAATACGCGTATAAGCAAACATATACTAGTTAATTACTTAACATAACTATAGTATGCCTTAATTATAATTTGCGATCTACTTTAAGCTATAATTATGCGGCTCAGCTTTTTGGTTTTGTATAATTCGCACGTTTGTATAATTCGAAATTTGTATAACTATTTACACTTTTGATGTTTGTAATTGTATAAATTCGTTATTTCAAGTTTATACAAAAAAAAAAACTGAATTATACAAATGTACCTGCGAATTACATAAACCTGCAAATTATACAAATCCACAAATTATACAAATGAGACAGCTTAAATTGTAGCTACAACCCGTAAATGTGCAAACTATAGCTATGGAGCATAATTAGTTTAATATAGTGGCTATTTGCGAAAGTTTCTCGTATTTTTTAGGTTCTTATTGGGCTAAAATTCATAAGGCTTATTACTAAGGATGTGCACTCGGTACTTCGGAAAATGTTTTCTAGGAAAATAAGTGAATTTCTTACTTATTTTCTTTTGTTCGGTATATATATATCTAGAAAATTTGAGGAAATTTCACAAATAGCCACTAAAATAAACTTAATTACGCTCCATAGTTATAGTTTGTTAATTATGTTTCGCAGCTACATGTTAGAGGGTGGACAGAGGCGAGCAAGAGAGGGCAGAGAGGCGAAGTGTATATGTATATTTGTCGAATTGTATATGCATATTTGTCAAATAATTGTATATATGTAACTGGTATACATATGTATTTGTACATCTGGTGAGCGAGGAGAGAGGCGAGCAAGAGAGGGCAGAGAGTGGAGAGAGCCAGCTTATATATGTATATCTATTAGATAATTGTAAATATATAACTGGTATATATATGTATTTGTATATCTGGGAGCGAGATTGGGAGAGGGAGGAGAGAGGCAAGCGAGAGAGGGTAGAGAGTGGAGAGAGGATAATTGTCTTTGTATATCTGTCATATAATTGTATATGTATATGTATAAAAGAGGAGAGAGGTGAGAGAGAGGAAGATAGGAGAGATGCAACGTAATTATAGCTAAAATTAAGTTGTGAGTGAAAATGGAAACTATAACTATGTTAGCTAATTAACTAATATATATTTGCCTATCCACGTATTTCCCCAAACAAATACTATGTAAGGTGGGGATGGGGACTAGGAGTGAATATAAGACGTGTTGTTGGTGAGTGAGGAGGGCACAATCAACGTGAAATTCACTTGTGGATTTTGTTCTCCCTATTTCACTAAAAGAAAGAATAAATCATTTATTTAAATTGTTAAGAAACTTATTTATCTAGAAAATATTTTTCGAACATTTTGATCAAATGAACATAGAAAAATTGAGTATCCTCTCATGTAACACACCCTAAAAGGAGATAATATTTTACACAAATAGGTTAATAACATTCTAATACAAGTATTATATAACACATTAAATAGGAGTTAAGCAAGAGGAGAGAAACCTATTAACTTGAAATTATCAACCAACTATATTTTTTCAAACCATTGCTATATTACCTACATTTTACACTGCAGCATAGTTATCACATAAGTGACCTGAATCTAACACCTCAAATATCAAGAAAATGAAAAAAGAAAGAAAGCTTTCGTGAACAAAAAGGGGAAAAAATGATGAGCATTTTATCAGATGTGGTTTCTGTAAGGTCAACTTCTATCGACTTGAATACTTCCTGGATCCAGCGTTGACAGTATCTGAGGCATCGACATGCCACCAGATACAACAGTCTCTGCAAAAGAGGAGAAAAGAGCATGTCGGAAAGTGCTTTAACCATGAGCATGAGGATAGTTTCAAGAGACTGATACTGGAAAAAGGCTCACGCTTATAGAACAAAACTCAATGAAAAGATTTCTTACCTATCCCTTCACGGACAGACAAGTTTGGTCTAATAACATCTTTTGCATTAACGAGGAATATATCACCAATGTAAAGATGATTTGTAGGAACATACACACAGCATAGCTCTTCGTCTCCTGAATAGTTCTGGATTGGATGTCAAGACAAAGTAGCACACAAGTGAATTTCAAAATAAAATGGACGAAAGATGCTATTGTACATAATTTTTTTCCAACAGCAGGGATATATGATCCTAACGCTACCCATAGGGGAATCTTAGAAGTCCAGTTGATTGGATAACCGAACTTTCACCTTGTTGGTGAGGGTTCGATTCTCCCCTATTTCCCCTTTCAAAATTTTAAAATCAAACTTACCCCTTTACTTCGCGAAAAGGATCATATTTGTGCTTCATTATACTTTCGGTGCAAAAATACTCCTACTGTTACCAAAGTAGCTCAAACAATACTCCCCATCTATTAAAAATGTCCAAAGCGGATATTCAATACCACATAATCCTGTAACCCCTTTACATTCTTTTTCTTCCACCCCCTTCACCATCACTGCCACCAATATGATCACCACCGTATTCACCATAGAATTTTTCAACTCTTCAATTTAAAGAAAGAAACTGGAAGAGCATTTACTCATACGAAAGACCCATCCCAACTCTCGTCCATTTACTCACAAAGCATGCTTAAAGCTGGATATATTCAGATTTTTATTTTATTCTTAGGTCATATATATAACAACTACAAATAATGCAAGAGGATATGCTGGTATATATGAATTATAATTTAATTGAGGTAATGAATGCTGCATTTCGTTATATGGGAAACAATTTTTGAAGGATTATTAACCGTTTGACGAGGCTATTATTCATCAATCATCACCATATCAATCTTGGAGAACGGGTTTGAGTTGAGTAATATCACCACTGAATAATTTTGGTAGTATTTATTTTGCAAGCATGAAGGCCTTCAGCGAAATGTTGTTCATCTTTTTTACCCTTCGCAATCACTTGATGACCCGGTGGAGAATTGGAACAGAGAGTCGCTTGCCTCCCATAAGTGTATTTGAAGTTGGATAAAATTGTAATTATGTATAAATTACCTTAGCCTCATGAAATATTTCGCATATGTTATCGTACAAGTCTTGCATGGAGCTTGTTTTGTAGAAAATATATTATTAGGGTTTATGCATAGTTGCAATTATATCCAACTTCAAATACACTCGCGAGGGTAAAAAAGACTAACATCAT